CCACCAGCCTAATCTGGATTGAGAAATTTTGGCTGGAGCTGTGTCTATGCAGAGCTCCAGGTAGAGTCATTCCTCTCTGTTTGCAGCAGGGTGTTCCTGATGATAGTGATGTATTTGGCTGTTTCCTCTCCTGCTAACCAGCCTAGCAAAGTTGGACTTGCCTAACCCACAGAGCACTTTGAGCCATGTGTTTCCTTTTTATTTTATGTCAGCAGAGGCTTATGGTAAGGATACTTCCAGTAAGTTCTGGAGGAAGAGTTATTTATTTTTGTGATTTCTGGTGTTTTCAAGATGTGTCTGGTTTCCCCTAGTGATATGATAGATACCATGTGATTTGGTTTATTTTGATCAAGCAGTTCTTTCCAAGGCAGACCTCACAATTAAGCTTTTAATTGGAAGTGGACGTGCACAAGAGCTGCAGAATATAGGGCACAGTTTATWAAAATGCTTGAATGTCTTACTAGAAAGAGAGGAGCTGCTGTGAAGGTAATGTAATGATTTCTTAGCAACATTGAGCTTGGCTGTTGTTGCTTTTGGTTTTCCTTTGCTGCTTCATACTTTACCATGGAGATGAGATACATTCCAAACCATCAGCCTCAGCCACTTGAGCTGAGAGAGGTTGGTGTGGTGTTTGGAGTGCCCTGAGCAGCTGAGCCATTTCCTGTGCAGTGGAATACTAAGGTGTATAYAGAAAGAAGACAATTCATGATGTTATATTATATTGCCTTATAACTTGTGATGTACAAAAGGTCAGCTTCTAGAATCCATGTCCTCCTGTTACATAGTTACAGCCTTTTGGAAATAATACCTCACTTTGGTGTTTGTATTAGAGGGCATTACTGCACACCATAATGACAACTCTTAATTCTTTCATAGATTAACTAGAGTGTAATTAGTTTTTCAAAGTTCGGATCAATAAACAGAGCATGTTGATTTSTAAAAATGTCATACATGCACATTTTCTGATTTCCCTTTGAATTTCATGGTACAAACTGCAAGAGCTGTGATAATGCTTAGTACTGCAACTCCAAGTTGGGTATGCTGCCTTGTGTGTGGGGCAATGGGAGTAGGTTTTTTGGTTTGTTTTTTTTTTTCTTTCCCCAGCTAGGTATGAGACAGAAAATGGGAAAGTGTCCCATTCTGATGCGAGAAATGTAGTCTCCTTAGTCTGAGAAACAATACTGGACAATGTCATGACAATGATGAACATTTGTTATTCTTAAGGACCAGGGCTTAGCAACCTTTGGAGTACTAAAGAGCTGTAAGTGCTAACACCAGCACTTCCACTGCATCTTTCATTTGAGAATCTCTCTGTTCTTAATGAATTTTCAGTGTGTTTCTGTGAGGCTGGTACTATTAGTGTCATTTTGCAGACAAGTAGATAAAATAAAATGCTTGTATAAGCACATTCAGCAAGCCASGAAAAGCAGGAATAAAATTCAGGAATACTAATGTTTCAACCTGTTTTTGAGCTAGTATCTTGTACTTCTTTGTGAGAAAAGAAAGACATGAATTTTGGTAGCTTTCCTGCCCCCATCCCCCTCTTTTATTTCCCATAGGGTTAGGCTGCATAAAAGCGAGACATTATTATGCAACATATCTAAGTGTGCATGTGATACTTGAAAAAATGGTAATCAGATAAGTTGCCAGGCAACAGTACCCTGCCTTCAATTACCAAAAAGCCAGTGAGTGTGCTTTCATGATGTAACRTGTGTTCTGTACTTCTTCATAAAGAAAGTGTAGGTGTAGTTTTGCAAGAGTAGCTCCTTTTTAACTCATGTCCTGTTTAATCTCTCGTATTGTGAGGTCGGATTTGACCCCAGTTTTAGAGAAAAGTACTTACAGAACCCAAARTCAACAAGAACAACAAAGTTAGATGAGCTCTCAAAGATAATGAATRGTATATGAGCATATATGAGTAAATAACCATTCCTTGCCTTGGGTCTGTGAGTCTGATGGTTCAACAGCTTAGAGAAAATAGTTCAGAGCTCATCCTTGGGACTGTGAAAATAGAGGTAGGGAACGCACCTGGATGTATCTGGGAAAGGATGCACATAACCTTGAAATCACTTGTTTTCCTCGAGTAACTGCAAGTTGTTGCTTTACAGAGTTGGTTTTCCAGTTTTTTGGTTGGTGTTCCAGAAGGAGCAAAAGGCATTTGTATTTCAGGAGGTGGCGGACTGTGTCCTACAAATCCCTCTGCAGGATTTCAGTCCAGTATAGGAACAGGTTCARAAGTCCTCATCAAGAGGCATGGTGGGACTTGAGTTGAAAGGGAAATCTGCATCATCCTCTAAGTCCTGCCAGAACAGGGGGAGTTTCTGAGAAGACACACGCTCACTTTCTGTTTCCAAATTTGGCACTTTCTTCCCAGGAGAATCCCAGATAAGTCACGGAGCAGTGTTGTGGCTTGATTTTTCTGTTGCACAACTTATCACTGCATATTGCATGGACTTGAGCTTTTTTGTAGAGAACTGTGGAAATAATGAAGGAGTTGAAAGGAGATGAAAATAGAAAAGGAGTTGAAAGGAATTGAAAAGTAGACAGTTGAAGGAATGCACAACTAACCACTTTCCAGTTAGGATTTTGCTTTCCTTTTTGTTTGCTTTTCTTTGTATTCTCATTTGATRAACAGTACTGCTAGATTATGCTCATGTGCAGTCCCCAACCTGCTGACACCAGGAATGTTGGTATCTGTGTCTGAGGAACAGTCAGAGCAGGAAGTGCTGTTTTGGGAAGTCTGAGATTTTAGTTTTTAACTATTTTTGTAAATGCAGTTGAATGTTCACGCTACTCTTACTGGGTTTTTTTTTTGTTTTTTTTTTTGCTTTTTCCTTACTACAAACACTACACATTTTTAATCATTAGTATTTTGACACAGAAAGTCCATTTATATACAAAAGGAAAAACAAATCTCCTTTTCTGAACAGCTTAAGCTTTGTATTAATCGTGTGAGCCTTAAGGTCAAACCTTTCTCTTCAGCTCTACTGCTCTGCTGACATGTATTAGGACATAGTCTTTATTAATGAAGATTTTCTTCAATCAGTGTTTTCTTCCAAGTGTAGATACATTTGTAACCCATGGTATGGTTTCTCCAGCAATTTGAGTTGAAAGCAATGAAGTATTTTGTGAAAAGGGAACTTCTTCCTCCTGGGCTGTGTGCTGTGAGCCGAATCTGAGAGATGGTGATGATGGCATGGCTGAAAACTAGCAGGCTTTAGGGTAGCATGGAGTAGCATCCAGGTGGCTGATGAGTTCCTTGGTCTGCCTCCAGGTGAAGCCCCATGGGTGGCCTGAATGCTGGTGCCAGTTCTGCAGGATGGCTTGAGCAGAACTGTGTTGTCCTAAAGTTAGGTTGGCTTGAAGCCTTTTGTAATATTTGTATTTTCTGTGTTGAAGGGGTTGGGAGTGTGTTGCAGTTGCTCGTTTTGTATGATTTTGTTCCTCAGTCTTTTACATATCAAATTATAGATAAGTAGGTCTGACTATGTAAAAAACATTCTCAATGCTCTTATGATTCTAGGAAAATGCYTTTTGAAATTTTGTTTGCATATATCTGATAAATAGTTCAGTAGAAACCTGTTGCAAATATCCAACTGTGGCAAAATGCATATAAAGAAAATAGATCACATGCAAATAATTTTAGGAACATTGATGTAACAACAATTTGTACCAAAGCTAGGCAACAAACAAGATCTTTCCCAGCCGCATATATATCTGGTAAAATAGCAACTATTTCTTATGGTAAGAGAGACTTCAAAGTAGGTGCAAGCTTCATTGCATAGGCAGAAGGTGCTAGTTGTGTCTCAATAATACCCATATTACATTGATTTAATTAGTGGGTTTATGCTATTCATTGCTCCATTAATCTTGTTGGGAAGATTTTTTTGGKGGAGGATTAGCTATTTAATCTGCATTTTTAATTGCAGTGGTTTTGTAGTTCAGTGTCATCTAAATAAAAACAGTGTAGGTTTGTTTTTTTGTTTTGTTTTCTTTTTTAAGGAAAACATGTCTCTCGAATTCCTCTTGGATTGTGGTGCTCAAAAATGCGGAGATGTATTAGGACAACATGAAGAACTTATTTGTTACACAGTCTGATACATAAATGTCCTTGCTTTAACTTCCTCATACGCAATTAATCCAGAAAAATGCTGTATAGACAAGACATTGGATTGTAAGATCTGTGAGGCTGACGTAAGTAAGATGTTGAATACTTGTTTGTTGAAGCTGTCACCTCAAGGTTTGACCTCTGTGAAAATCATGAATGTGGCATCCTAAATGTTAACATTTAAAGAGAAGGAGARCCCCCAGCTCATGGGTTCCACTTGCTTGGATCATGCAGCTGTGCTGTGTGAGCCCAGTACAGAGGTGAAAGGCAGTTGGGTCACTAGAGTGGGGACAAGACTCAGTGCCAGTGCTCCCAATAACAGATTGAGATGCTGTGTGGGTGGCAAGGGCCTGCTTACATGAAGTCCACACTCTGTCTTGGAATGGGGAAGACAGAAGAAAACTGAAGATTGAAGAAGTGAGGACGAGAAGAGTTTGGGGAAGATAAGGAGGCATTGTTAGGACTGAAATAGGATGGAGGTGAAAAGGTGTCAGCAGTGAAGCTTACTTAAAAAATGGAGACATTGACAGAGAAAATAGATGTCAAGCAATTTCTGGCAGACCCTTCAAGGGTTAACTGGGACCTTGGCTGAGATGGTAGCAGGGAACCTTTGGTCACTGCTTCCAGTGAAGTTGCTCCRTGTGTTTGCTTTGGCTGAGATCCAGGATGTGGGAGAGCAGAATGTCTCAGCCTCACCAGAGGATAGGCAGCTGTCAGAGTGCCGCCCTGGGCAAGGGGCAGGTACAGGCRCCCTTTGGGGACTCTGAAGGAGTCAGTTCTTCCAGAGTCCAATGTACTGGAGCTAAGCTATCCATACGCACAGCTCTTTCAGWGTTTAAAGCCTCTCCTGCATTGTGCTGTATCAAGATTAAACTGTACTTCTTTGGTTTAGGAAGGCTGGCTGGTTGCTRTATTAGCTGGTGGTCACACGCACCTGGGCTGGAAACGACTGGCATCTGAAACGGCTTGGACTTGCTGGAGGCAACCTGGTCTGCCTGCGGATGCTGTGAACTAGGAGCTGGCCAAAGAGTGGGAGAGCTCCAGGATCCCTCCCCGGAAGAGGTAAGGTCTGGAGGGTAAAACTGGTGGGACTGCACCTGTAGACCATMGAAACAGAGCAGTTCTATGAAAACAGAGCTGACTGCATTGTAGATGGGACCTTTGATATTTAAATATGTAGACTGCAAAGTTATTTCTGTTGGTTTAAACTTCGAGTTGTTTTCTGGAGGCGTAAGATCACCATTTGCAARCAACACCCTTGATTTCTGTCTGCTGTGAGTCACGTAGTTCTGATTGCTTGTAATTTATACAGCCAAATTTTCAATCTTATTGTCTCTTTAAAACCTCAAACTCTGCTAGCCTTAGGCAGTTAGAACAATCAGGACAGTGGAGCAGTATCTGTGAGCTAAACCAGAGCAGTAGGTAAAGAGCAGAGGGTTGCTCTCTGTGAAAACACAGGTGTGAGTCGGATGATGAGGAATCTATTCCTAGTCCTAACAAGCAGTGCAGGCTCTGCACCTGATTCACTGATGTGTTACTCTACTAATCTTTTTTGCCTCATCTTGCCACTCTCCTGTATAYTGTAGCAATCAGCTACACTTCCACRGAGTACRTATAAAATGCTATCAATTTGGAAGGGTGATTTATATCCTATAGCAGAACTTTATATTGATTCTGGTCAGTGAGGTGGACATTGTGGGACCAGAATAATTTCCAGACCCTGCAGCATTTTTGACATGCTATGTKTGTCTGCAGTATGTGGTGTGGCTCAGGCTACAATATTGTTTTTCCTATTTTGGGTCAGCTTTCATGGGCAGGYTGTGTACTGTACTTTATTTCTAACTGGGAGCTCACTTTGAATGTGTAGATGCTACATGTATAAACTTCAGATACCTGTAGCACCACCATCCCTCAGCCTGTCCAGTCTCAGGTGTCTCATTACCCTCTCCTAGTTGTAGTGTGGAAGAGATCTTGTTTTGGGCTATTCTGCTGTCCCACTCCTCTGGATATTCTTGCAGCTAGACCCTTTCTGAGAGTGGGGAACAGACCCAGTCAGCTGCTGAAGGAAAGCAGTAGACTTAATTGTGGCAATGCTAACAGTATGGATAAGCAGATAATGTGCTGCTTAGAGATTCAGCTGTGATTTTGCTGCCCATTGTGTAGCTGATTACAGGGCTTCAGTTGGTCAACAAGTGTCATCTGTTGAGTGGCAAAGTCCAGACCAGTGCTGCAATATTATGACAAAGCAARTGTCAGCAGCTTCCTGAGAAGGCAGCTGGTGATGGGCTGAGCTTTGTATGAGTCTAGCTGTTGGGTCAGTGATGTAGCCATGAGTATTTCTGAAGAATATGAAGTGCTCTGGTGTATGGTACTATTGCTATGAGTAGAGAAAATGCTGCTTCTTGCCTGTCCTCAAGAACCATCGAAGGAAGCRCAGAAGTCTCCTATTACWGTTAAAACAAAAACTGAGTGCCGTRTGGGCACAAGAAAACATAGATCCATTGGCAGCAGAACAAGACTATGAATTATTCATTCCTCCAATGCCTTCTGTATGTTCCATCCTCTCAGGCTGTACAGGATGCTGTCTGCTGGAGATGCAGACAGATCTGCTTTCAAAGCCATGGGGACATGACCCTGCAGACATGACCCTGCAGACTGTGATCACCACTGTTGAGCTTGTCCTTCATTAAACTGGCTTGGGCCTTATTGTGTCACCCTCAGGGACACAGAAGTAACCGCTGATCATCCTGTGGGTTGTTGGTAGGAACACTTGTAACACCAATGAAACCTGGGGCACATCTGGTAATGCCAGCCTGGAACTGTGTGTGAGGTGAGGGAAGTGAGTTAGGAACAAGATGGAAGGCCTGTCTGTTCTGGCTCACTTTGCAATGGGGAGGTGCGGGAGCTGCATCTTTTGTAGCATTGCTTTGTTTTTTTTTAAGAGACATTACACTGTGTGATTTTGTTCCTAGCTCTGTCTTGCTGAGAAGCCAAGGTGTCTCCTGCTGAAAGTTCCCTGAGAACAGGCAAAGTGCTTTAGTGGAGATGAGTGTATTTAAATGGCTGTTTGGGAACATCTGTAACCTATAGTTTTTCTCAAATCATTTACTAGTAGGCATTTGTATGTGTAATGATTGTCAATTGGCAGTTGAATATGAGAAGCACTGAAGACTTACGGAGCTGCAGAGACTTAATTCTCCTCCAGCTCTTCCATGAACTGCTGTGAGCTCAGGTAAGAGGTGTCCGGTGTGAGAGAAGGTGCTGCTGAAGGTTTGTTCAGAGGCTTTTCTTCAGCTTAAAATGCACATACTTAGTTGCAGAGGAGTTTTAATTATTCTTTTTCTTTTTTGTTCCCACTTTTTGGTATGAAGATTCCTTYAGCCATTTTGCATACTGAAGCTTGCACCATGCATGCTGTATTGCAGATTTTTGAGCATTTTTCCCCATTTTCCTTCTGCATCTCTCAGAGTTGCTCTTGGCTGTTAGGCTTTTGCTGAGAGGTATCTAATTTTTAGCACAGGGAAAGCTACCTGTAACTAGCAACAGCTGTAGAAATGACGGTCTTCTTAAAGCAATTAAATGCCTTTGAAATTARAGCTGTCTTGTAATGGACCCGTACTCCATTTTGAGAGCACTTCAATTGTTCTTAAAGAGCTTTTTGGAAAGGAAGAGGATGTTACTTTAGTCAAAACAAGACACTGTAGCTTGTGTTCAGAGCAGTTTTCAGCTTCTCATGTCAGCTAGCTGGCTGTGCCCTACAGTGAGTCACCTTTGGAGTTGTCCTAGTCCAGAAGCTGAGGGAAGCTGTGGATGCTAAGATAAAATCCCAGACTGTGTTTAAAGAGTTCTCACTAAAAAAAAGTGGTGGAAGCATCCTGAGGGGGACAGCTGCCCAGCTGTCTTGAGAGGCTGGGTAGGTTTCACAAAGAATGCTGTCAAGAAAGAAAGGGTTGCTTCTGAAGAAGGTAAAATGTGTGGTCTTGACTGAAATGAAAAGGCGATAAACTGGAAGCATACCTTTTCTTTGTTTGTTTTTAATCAGTGAAAGCAGTAGACAAACAGAGCAGGCAATGGATTTGTGGTTTCCATAGTGATGTAGCTATGGAAGCTTTTGTGCAGCTGAGCTTTGCCCTCACTGCAATCACACTTGAATGATATGAGTGTTCAGCTTTTTTGCCAGGGAAATGTAAGTATGTATCAAACATGGAACTGGCTGAAAATGCAGCTTCATGTTCATGTTTTATTCTTTGCCATGTTACCTGAATACGTGGATGTTCAGAAGCTCAGCTTATTTCTCCTTTACCTGTTCTGCACTGGAACACTGCATCAAACCATATTGATACCACAGTTCTTGCTGTGCTAGACAGGGATGTATTGACCTCTGCCTTTGCTTTCTGCCATCTGTATATACACACACATCCCACAGCACCAGTGCCTGTGACTGCAGCCACACTGATTTCAAACATGGTCAGGAAACATATGCACAACTCTTTTGGGGCATGCTAACCGATCAAACCCTGTGAAACTTTACAGGTGTACCTTATGCTGTTCATAGCCATCAACTCATTTGTCCTTGTATCTGACATTAAATCATGCTTTTTTTTAATGGGCATTTTGAGAGTGTTTTAATACTCAAAATACATAACCCTTGGGGAATTTTTGCATGTGGAGAGAGCTTTTGTGACTGTGAATGGTTGATTAATTCTGGCTTTTAAAACAAGGTGGAGGTGGAATTTTTCAGCATCTCAGTGGTGAGATTACCAGTGGGTCCTAGAGGCAGGGGGAGGAAAGAACTCAATGTTAATGCTGGATGCACATATCAGGCAGTTATGCACACACTAGTCCTGCACACATGCTTACATTGTCCAGTCTTTGTAGTTCACAGGCATTTCTGCCTCAATCTTCTGCATTTCTTTTTCACTTGTACTGCTGCTAGAAGCTTTCTTGCTGTCTCTCTGAACAAATCTCCCTTACCTTCAGCATTTGTTTTGCTTGTCTMATGGATGTAATGGGTCATCTGTTCTCTTTATAGAAAGGAATGTTAATTATTTTCAGAAGGCTAATTAGGTTGCTAATGAGAAGCTCTACTGCAGAAATATTTCTTTTAATTACTCACTCTTACGTGCTGTACAGAGGCGCTTATTGAATATGCTGTTAAATACAAATGCTTGTATCTGGCTGAGAGATGCACCTTCAGGCTCCCTGAAAGAAATATTTTGGTAAACTTAGGAATCCATGTGACATAGATGTCTGAGCTAATGAGACTGGAGCTAAGAGCTGCCTAGTTGTACAGCCTTTTTGACTGCACCTCAATTTGGCACTTCTGCAAGTGACTGGATGCAGTTGCCCGTAGTATTTCAATTTTGCTGATGACTTTTGTCAGTATAGGTAACTCTTAGTGCTACCTGCCAGASCAATCTATAATTAGATGCAGCCCTTGCACCAAATAGTTTAGTCTAATCAGCCAGATGGCAGTCAGAGGCACACAGGGGTGGAGTGACATGTCCAAGGTCATATTGCATATTATGGCAAGCCTAGTAATAAAGCAGAGGTTTCATCAGTCCTGTGTTAGTTCACTGCATTATTTGCCCCTTGTGCATCTCTTGGGGCCAGCATAGCTCACTACAAGACTTCCATCAGTTTGCATATTGCTTCATGAGACAGCACAGCTGCTCAACAACACCATCCGTGTAGCCAGCTTGGCACTGACTTAGGAAGATCCTTTTACTTCCCTRAGTCCTGTCTTCTACTTGCTTCACTTCCTTGTTGTAGTGATACCGAAATTGGCTAGAAAATAAACTTTCTAACACAATTTGAAATGTTAGAAAGCAGGCATTCTTTATTACAGTGCTGGACACTTTCAGAGGATGTCTCCTCTAACAGTGTGTGTTGTGAAACTTTATGACATCCATCATGATTATACATATCCATTATAATGTGCTTTTTAACTAATACACAAACATTGCTTTCCTTAGAACTAATTTGCATGCATCTGCCTCTTACTGGAAGTCCTTTTATGGTTCTGGAGAGTCATCTGAAGGGGTACTCACTGAGTGGCCCAATATGACAGGTAACCATTCCTTGAACTTTTCTTTGGGCATACGTGTTGCTTCTTGTTCTGTAACATGCCGAAACTCCCACTGTATTCCTCATTTTCTGTTTATCTGCTGGTTCCAGCTACATTTGTCATCCTGTGTGCATACTTTTGCATTCTTTTATCTTCCTTTGCTAGTAAGTTTTTAAGCTTTATCTAGCAACATCAGGGGAACTGAAAATTTTTACTCTTTATGTTATCTATCAGTCTCAATGCCTTTTAGAATTTCTTTGGGAGAGCTGCTGCATTCTAGATGATATTTTACTTTTAGTATTCCCAGGATGTAAGTTGGAGTGGATCTCTAACGTCCCCTGCTTTTTGATTGCTGAGCCTTTATACAGCTCTGTAGAAGAGCTTCACTTTCTTTTCAACATCCTCTGATGTCCAGTCTGCTCTTAACCAGATTCTTGGAACTTTTTACATGCTGTGGCTCTACTGAGAAAATGGTGAGGGAAGGCTGCTGGGTGGAGGCAGCTTCCATGCATAAGAAAATGGTCCTTACTCTTTTATATACTGGTCATCATAAACACAGCAGGAGAAGGAAGGAAGATTTGTCAATGTTGTGGATGCAGTGCAAAACTTGGCATTTTGCTCTGTTCTGCCAGCATGTCTAAGTGCAGGTGMCTCATAAGAGTGACTTAGACATAAGAAATACCCGAGAAAACTATTATCAGCATGGGACCATCCTCTATTTCTTTCCAGGCGCACATGTGCGCTCCCAGAGCTTTTATCTGTGTGCCACACATGCAGCATTGCCTTGGCTGAGGCACATTCATTTAAAAGTTCACTTTGCATATGGAATATTTAAGTTAACTTTGCATATCTTTACGGCTGTGGGAGCTGTTAGAAGCAGCGAGGATGCAGGGAAGCAAGTTGCTTAGCTGCAGTATAATCTAGGTTCTAAGTTGGTACAAACCTATGCACAGCAAGCACACTTGAAAATGTTARCACTTTAAACACCTTGGCATTGCTATGAACTGTTGTGCAGATAGTGCTGTTTGGTCTATATGCAGTGTGATGGGTTTGTTGTTGCATATATCAAGACTAGTTATATTATGGAATGACATTTAGATTGTTTTAGCAGGAGACAAAAACTTACATTCTTACTCATTCTACCAACAGTCTACTGCTTAATACCTAGTGATTGTTGTAGAAGTCCTTGAATGCTGCAGGTTTGTGTACATCTGAAAAAGGAGCAGACAGCTGACCAGAGTGTGTGCCTCCAGGACTGCCGATAGTAGATGCACAGCTCAGGCATGCAGATGACAACTCTTAAGTATCTTACATAAACATGGACAAGATAACATATGGTGCCTCTCTGGTTCTATTTGCTATGGGTCACCCAATGCTCTGTTAAACAGATTTTAAAGATGCCTCAAAAATAATTTAAGGTTTGGGGTTTTTGGAGAAGGTTATTTTTGGTGTCCAGTGTGAGCAGTATCAAACCATTTTACTTAAAACTGAGGAATTCTTTTCTAGTCTTAACACAAGACAGTTCCCAACACACAGATGAGAACTGGCATCTTTGTTCAACTGGCATTTTGCCCAGAGGCATGAGGTACCTATTGTCCAGAAGAAAAGCAAGAAAAAGAAAAAAATCTTGTTTGATCTGAAATTACCCTGTGTAACCGCAAGTATTTCACCGAGGTGAATAAATCAGGATTGTACATGCTTYAAGCAACTCTAAGTAGGTACTGCAAAGATAGTATCAGGAATGATCAAACTTCACTTTTGTCTTCACAATGTCCCTAGCTATCTTCACAGGCTCTAGTAACTACAAATGGGAGCCTGTAGGCAAATGAAGCTGGTAATGAAGGTGCCTTTGTTAGGTGCCTGAAATTCATGAATTAATTTGGGCTCTGCATGTATGTATGAAATGTTTATATGAAATTCAAAATCTAGTAAAGCCATGTAATGCAAATAATTTGTTAGAATGGTATCATGTTGCAGTAATAGTGTAAGGCAGATTACTGGAGGCAAACAAGTTTCTGTCAGAGGGGCGTTTCAGTGAGTGAGACCTTAGGGTCTGCTCAAAGGAGGGATCAGTTCCTCACTGCTTAAATAACAACTGTGSCTCCTAAAATAACAACCAGTTGTTTAGAGTATATCTTTAAACTTTTCTTGAGATKGTAGAATGAAAGCTGAAAACATAAGTTGGGTATTAAGGCCACCACAAATGAAGAGCTGGGCAGAAAATAGTGTGACTGTGGGAAAGCCCTGCCAGTTTGAGAACTCTGTGGCTGATCATTAATGGGGCAGGACACTCTTGTGTGATTCAAGACAGCCAACACAGCTTTGCCAAGGTTAAGTCCTGCTTGACCAACCCAGTGGCCTTCAGTGRTGGAGTGACTCCATCAGTGGAACRGTGCAGGTGTTATTTATGTGGACTTCTGTAAAGCCTTTGACATGGTACCTCACACATTCTTCTCTCTAAATTGGAGAGACATGGGTTTGATGGGTRGATTCTTCAGTGAATAAGGAATTGTTTGGGCTGTTGCATCCAAAGGTTAGTGGTCAATAGGCAGAGTCCCAACAGATGGTATCCCTCTGGAGTCTGTGCTGGGACCCTCTGCCCTCATAAGACTCTGCTTGGGTTACTGCATCCAGCTCTGGGGTCCCCAGCACAGGAAGGACATGGACCTGCTGGAGTGAATGCAGAGGAGGGCCATGAAGATGATCAGAGGGCYGGAGCACCTCTCCTGTGAATGGAGTTGAGTTCAATGAAAGGAAACCCTTTGAATTTTCCATCCACTGAAAAGCGTCTACTGCCTTTGGATGAGGCTCCAGGTTGGCAGGTTTGCCTCCATGCTGCAGAGGCATGCTTCTTTCTTTTCTGGTTGTGCTTGCCAGGCCCATGGAGAAACTGGGTCTTTCCAGCCAGGTGCAGAGTGCAATAAACTTCCTCTGACAAGTTGACAGAAATTAGTGGAAGCTCAGCACTTAGCAAAAAGAGAAACTATGTACAGTAGGTGTTAAGAACGAACTGAACCTCATGGCTGGGAAGTTGTGGTTTTACCACTTCCTCTTACGTGTTCCTGTTTTGTGGAAATGACTCTTCAAGTGTTTCAGCTGAGAGTGTCCTGTGTTTCATAGCATTCAGCTACTAGGGTGCCATGGGACTTAAAAAAAAAGCCTCTTCTGGGAGCCAGGTGAAGTGCGTTCAGCTCAATATTCCCTTTTCTAAGGAAAAGTGATAGGTTTTACCGAGTCAGCTGATATTGCGAGGGAGGTGAAAGGGGGTCAGTAAATTACAGATACTCAGGCTGTCTTTGGGCTTGAAGCTGTTTGAAGTTGAGTATCCTGTTTCTATTTGTGATCTGACCAAAGTCGTAAGATCAAAGTTACTAAAACATTGTCTCGATCTGCAGTAGCTGATTCTTCCTGGCCTGAGCATTTTCTTGTGGAGCCCAGCAGTGAGGAAGGATTGTATACATCACAACTGCAGCTGGATAGAGACATTGGGCACCAACTCCTCCCTCTTCACACCTGTGTCTCAACATGTTCCTAAGGCCCCTGTATGACCATCACAAATACTTGTGTGAAGGGAATTCAGGGTCAGTGAAAGGTACTGTATGGATTGTCCAGAGAAACATCAGTGCTTTTATAAAGGAAAGAGAASCTCTGATAGTGAGAACATGAACTTTCTGCATTATGCATCCACATGACTTATCTATTCTGGAAAGAGCATTTTCCAGAGCCAAGTAAAAGAATACACTGTTATCTCGTCTCACTTCTGAGATGGCCAGGGATCTTGGCCAATTAGTRCTTGTATTTCAATTACAAGGATGTTTTGTCAATCACTGGGAATGAAATGAATATGTATAAGAAAAGAGCTGTGTATGTTTTGGAACRTTTTCTTTTTTGAAGCATATATAACAGAATAAATACAAACACACAAGCAAGAAAATTGCTCTACTGCATTAGCTGAGTGTGTGGACTTAAATTCAAGCCTCTTTTTATCAATGTGCTGTGACCTTTTGCCATCTTTCTGCACCTGAGAGTGGAAAATGTCTTCTGTGTAGACTGACAGTTGAGGTGAGTAGTATTTTTATATCCTTGCTGAGTTTAGGATTAGAGTTAGCAGTTCTTAAGGATTTTCTTTTCTAAGATGGAAGCTTAATTCCTTTTTCAGGTGTTTAGCAAGTAGGTGGTATTAATATGGTGCAGTTAAATTCCTTGAGTCCTGAAGCAGATGCACGTTAGCTGCTATTCACAAGAGGTGGTTTTGAATTTTTCAGTAGGCTGAATGTGTAGATTGGATCTCAGAAAAGGGGTGAACGTGAGTTGGGTCTCAGCCATAAACTGATAGATCTGTAAAGCAGTCTGAAGCAATGGTRTTGCTTTATTTCATGATCTAGGCTTGCTGGACTGTGAAACTTAAATTCCTGGACRTCAGGCATTCAGAATATCCTGAAGCAGCTCTGTTCACATACCTACAAACTTTTCTGTCTTAAGGAACCCAAAGTGTTACACTTAGGTTGACTAATAAATACAGATAAATTTTGAATTTTTTTTCCAGTAATGGAATTGAAAATTGAATTTTTTTTTCCAGTAATGGATTTGTTGTTTTACTGGGGAGATTTCAATAGGACGTGGTCATTTCGACATACTGCAGTCATGAAAGGAAATGTGGAAGAAGAGTATAAACATAATATTAAATGGATCTATTTTCAGAGACTCTGTAAAGGTTGAAGTGAGCACACTGTGAAACTGTGATGAATGACTGGCAGGTTGAAAGTATGAATTTCAATCCAATAGTACTGTTTGTAGTGTTTGCAAAGGCTCACCTCATGACAAAAATGAACACAGTCAGAAGAGGCAGTTATMAGAAAAGAAACTCATCCTCTTCAAGGAGAGGGGAAATGAGGACAAATGAGTAAATAAAATAGGACAATATATGAAGGTGTCTCTATATCTTTATATATCTATATAGCTGTAGATAGAATTCAGGTTGAATAGCAGGTGGATTTGCCTTCATTAAGGCAAACATCTACGGTCCATTCCAAAMTAGAGAAGAGTCCAGTTCTGCAGTTTGAGAGAGAGGTAAGAACAAGCTCAGAAACAATAGGAAAAGAACAAAGATGGTATTAACTCTAGTCAGGGAAGATATGGGACATCCTTATGACCCAGCTCCCTGACTCATGAGCTGGAGCACATGAAGCTGCAGGAACATGTCTCAGTTGGAAGAACAGTGCTGAGAAACTCTGCAAGTACAGTACCTTCATAAGTAGACTGATTGGAAAAGGAGGGAGCTATGGGATGCAAAAGCAAAAACTTGTGGATCAATGTTGAGGTAAGAAATCGATGTCTGAAGACATAAGAACTTCCATGAATGGCAGGGAGGAATAGCCTGGCAAATACCAGTTCTATGTGGGGCACAAAAGTTGAGTTATTCCTTTCTTTTTAARGAGATCCCGAGTGTTCAACTTGCTACCTTTCAGAAGATTGAGTTTCAGTCACATTTCCCTGTGGAAAAGCTCTTGTGCTTCCTTCTTGGGACACCCAGCACATAATTAGATGAATGACTTGATGGGGAGTCAAAACACATTAGAGGTTTATGGTGCATCTGATGCTTCAGGTTTACAAAAAAAAAAAGACAGGAATGCATGTAACATGAAGATGATGTCTTTGTGATTGTAACTTGAATGCTAAACTTCCTGATACCTTGAGGAAATAACAGTGCTAAAAATGTCAGCCTTCTTTTGCAAAGCTGTAAACAGGAACAGAAGTACCCAACACAGTGGGGGGTTATGTTTGCTGTGTAGGAACTAGGTCCTAAAACCTAAGTTTTTGTTGACTTATTATTCAGAACAGAGAAATTACACACTTTGCAAGGTGATAGCATTATTAATACCCGTGGTATGCTAATTGGTGGGCAGTAGTGGGAAAAACTGTGGGAACTGCTTAGAGGAGCTGCCTTTCCCAGCTGTTGGCATGGTTATCTACTTGAGGATCTTGCTTTACATGATGAGGTGGTCAGTAGGATTCTGAGATTTATCCTCTTCTACCCTTCCTTTCCAGGATGTTTCTACCTCTGATGCCTGTGTGAACTTGAAATTAAGAAGATGAGGTAGATTAGGTAATCTTGGAGCCTCCACAGGAAATCCTTCAGTGAAAAAGAATTAATTTGGTACTCTGAGACTGCTTAAGTTTTCTCCACTAGGGGTGTTAGGAGGAAACTTGAGGAATCACAGCCTAATGAGTAGCAGTTTAATGTTAGGAGAAAATAGTTTAATGTTAGGAGAAAAAAATTGAGAAGGAAAAATTATTTTATGTAGAACTGCCATCAGGAGACTTCCAAAAGGGGAAAGAGAAGGAAACTCTTCATGACAGTCTTGCGCTATGAATGTGGAGGTGCTTAAGAGTGTGCTCCCTCCTATTTCCTCTGATTTTGTGCAGTAGCTTCTGCTTGCAGGGTTTAAACCTAACTCGGCTTAGACCAAGATGCTACATTTCTTCATGAACTGCAGCAGTTCTGTCCTTCTAGATGAAGAGTGACTGTAGTTGGTAGCTGCAGGTATTTAAACTATCTAGTTAGCKACTATCAGTTGAATTCTGGGAATTTTTAAAGGCTTGTGCACCCATGAAGAGTGATAAAAGGAGAGAGAAACAGTTCTTTACAGTTGTGTATATGCAACAAAAATTTCCAGTAAAAGAAGCAGCTGGTTTCATGAAATGCTGCTTTGACCTTTATCTGCAGCAAATGAGGGGACAATATTTTGAATCTGTCAATWGTACACTTTTAAGTGACTTGGATTGTGTCAGTATATTAGCGAAGTAGGATTTTCGGTACCTCAACATGTTGATCATAATATTTTTCTCTGCCAAGCTTTATTTTCAATGTGARAAGTCTTTCAATTTTTTTGTCTTTTTTTTTTCCTGCAATCTGGCTTTCATCCATTTCATGCTGATTCTGGTGTATTTCTGAAAATGGTTCAGAAGTTCTGGGCTAAGCATATTTATTTGTTACTGATACTGACCTCTGTGAGTTGATCAAGTCAATTTATTATGATAGGTTGAAGCAGAATGATTTATTTGCTTTTCATTTTGCTTTGAAAAAATGAGGCATTTTTAAGAAGAAAAAACCCTAGCTTTTCAAAAATGAACTGTCTGAATTTCAAAAAAGCTGTCAGAAACCACATAAGATGCGTGACACATAATGTCTTGCCATAATGTTGTCTTTTCTTTACACGTGTTGGCTGTGTAGTGACAGTGGAAAGGATAAAATCCTGCAGACTCTCATTGTGTTTCAGGACARATTCTCTCTCTCCATTCATCACTCTGGTTTGGGTTGCTGCTAAGCCATGATATACATTATGTTCTTTGAATGTCAGATTTTCTTCAGTCAGCTAATATCATGTGTTAAGCTCAAGCTTTTGAGAACACGTGAATTTTGATTGCCACTGTACTTGAATGCAGAGTTTGAAATTATGGAGTCCAGCTCACAGGAGCTTACGAGTCAGTCAGTTRCCCAGCAGGGAGCTGTAAGTGCTCAGATGTAGGCATGAAGTCACTGTGTGTGAACCTTTATTACCTTTTGAAAACTGGGTTCTAGGAACTCAGTTCTGTTCTCACTACAGGAAATGAAGTCAACTGTCCAGGTTAATATAACGGTGAATCCAGGAGCTAAGCACCCAAAACTGCAGGATGGCTGATACAGATTCTCTGATCAGATTGTGTCCCCCTGGAAATGCCATCTCCTTGGGCACAGACCTTCCATAATGCTGGGCTCAGTGTTAATGRGAAGCTCTGCCTGCTCCTACAGGAGGGTCCTGGCTTCAATCTCTGCTTTGTGCTGGAGCCCCATCAGGGGCACTTGGGCTCTTGCTGGACATTTGCTTGTTTTGAGAACTGTACTGTCAGCAAATGTTGGGAATTCAGGGCAGCTTTTCCAAACAGGGAAGCCAGCAGGTAAGGCACAGGAGTCTAATGGCAACAGGCTTGGAGAACAACATGACCTTACCTGRATGAGATGGTGAGGAGATTTGGGCTTAATACTTGTAGATGTCAAGTTTGGATTCAGTTATTTTTCATAGTGTCTTTCAAATCTGCAAGTAGATTACTTAATTTCTGTCAGGTACTAAGGAAACATTCCTCTTGGCCACTGTAAGTAGAGCTACTGCCTTCATTTGTTCTCAGGTTGGAGTGGTCACTGTGRGCTAAGGTGTTGCACATAACATGATCCTGTGTGTGAGGCAGGGCGTGGAAAGTCCTCCACTTTCTGCACTTCTGCCATTCATGACATCACTTTAGTCAGAAAGCTATTTTTTAACAATGTCTCCATATTTTGTCTTTGTTCTCTGAGAAGCCACCCTGCCTCCTTCCCAAGAAAATCCTACCTTTCTTCTTTCCATTATGCCATTGTGAAATGTGGGCAGCCCACAAACAGCCAGTACCGGTAAGAACTACACTTCCCCATCCCTTTGGTTTAGTCTGGTAATTGGATTCATTTAATCTCCTTTTGTTGTCATTCTTTTTTTACTGTATCCCAGTTCTCTTTGGAACAGATTTGAAAGACAGACAGGGATCAGAGGCTGCCAGCAGGTACAGAGTGAACTGGGCAAGGGAACGGGAAAATAAGGAGTGGCAGGGAAATGATGTRCCTTCTATGGGAAGGAGGGGAAAGTGCAGATAAGAAATAGACTGCTTTCTTACCCTGGAGTATGTGGAAGGRAGACAATGTTCATCCTGATGGATGTGGAGTCCAGACAGAGAAGCAGCAAAAACAGATGACTCAGAACTGACCAAATTCCCAGGGCTCCAGATCCTTCCTGAAAGCACTGAGAGTCTGTGTTTGGAGACATCTGTGGCATGCTTTTAGCTTCATTGCAGGGCTTGATTAATCGATCTTCTGGAGCTCTTCCACATTTGAGTACAGTTGAAATCCTATTTTCTGAGCCACAGTTAATTGAGGCTCTCAGTTACCTGAAGGATGAATATCTCCTCAGAGTTATGACTTCAGCACATAAGTACCACTAAGACTTTACTGTATAAATCTTTAAACACTGATGAACTAATGTCTTGGGGCCAAATCTGGTACCTAGCGTTCTGTACACATCTAGCATTCTGTAAACCTTTACTTATAATGGTGTGTGAGACCTCTGTGAAAATGTTGCAACCAGATTTGTATCACATTCATTGAATGCTGCCCGTGGCTRCAAACTCTTGCTTGCTAGGTGTTTACTTCCAGGGAAAATGCAAAATAAGAATTAATTAAAAAAGGTATTTCCAAAAATACGTATCGATTTTCACCAACACATTCACCTGTCTACTGAAATCCTTGCTAAAACAGAAAAGCAGATACACATCTGATTCTCCCAGTCTTGAGAAAGAAGATAGTAGCAACAATGATATACCAATGAGAGTAATTTAAAAAGTAATGAAGAATGGTTATTTTTACATAAGTACTGTTTAGATAGTAAGGATCTGAGGAAAAACATTAACAGGGGTAGGCAAGTACCCTTTACTTCAGCATGGTCTGCTACTCACAGTCCTGTCATTTGGAGAGGCTGAAGTATCCTGCTGTATGTCTCCTTTGCACTTCTTCAAATTGAAGAGTAATTATGATACATAACATAGGGTTGTAGGTGTATCTAAGGCATTTCTTAGAAAAATGAACAYGAATGTTATAGAACTAAAAATATTAGTAAATACTTGAAATATGAATTTGTAAAATAATACAGTGCCCTAAATTTTTAACTTGCAGAAATAACTGCAGAATAACCAAGAGTAAGGAAGATGCTGCAGTTGTTCAAGTTCACCTGCAGTGGATCAAGTAGCTGACAGAATTCATAGCCTCAGAACATCACTTGTTAGGGGAATTGTCTCATGGAGGTTTTTGTTTGTGTTTTTCTTTTCTTGGCACTTCAGAGTTAATTCAGAGTTTCTTGATGAGGTCTCATTACACTCATCCAGAGCATCTAAATAATTCTGCTGGATTAGAGGGAATAAAGACAATTTGTGAGAGACTTTTTAAAGCACAATTTGACTTGATAGCAAGGAAATGGGCAGAAAGCCACTGCAAAGGAGAACTTTGAAAAAAAAGTGAGCCAGGCAGTGTTCAAGAACTTAATTAGGCATGAATATGACATCCACTGAGGTCTCCCCTGCAGTGCTTGTGTGAGAAAAATCTGCCATTATTTCTTGGTCTACCATTGCTCCATTTTCTGATCGTCTCTCTTGCCTGCCAAGGCTGCCTCACTGCAAAATCGAATTTTGAGTGTGGAAATGCTCCTCTTGCACAGAGGGTCTCATGTGAGGTGGGGCAGTGTGGGATGTAAATCCTTTCTGCTTACTTGGCCTGATGTTTCAGTTTTATCTGTATCTTACCTCAACTTAGGGTATTATTAATATCCATTTCAGAGATGGAATTCTAAAATCTTCATTGCACAGAAGAAATAGTGTGGGGTAGAACAGGACATGGCTTGTTGGATATGTTTCTGTGAGTCTTTGGCTTTTGTAGGGAGGTGTAAGGCAATGGAAATAACTGGAGAGGGGATCCTTGGAATAAAAATGAAGGGGGAGAGGGAAGGACCCTATGTGCATTTGATCCACTTTTGTGAATAGATTTTCAAAATTAACAAGATGCTCCCAGCTAAAGTTCAAATACATTTCTTGTAAGGCTGTAGAGAGAAATACAAGGATTAAGTATCACAAGTGAAAATATTAGAAAGGCTTATAGAAAAGAGAGGAAAACCATTCAATCCCATGGCAATTCAGAAAAACCTTTACAATCATTTTCTTCTCTGGACAATGACATTACATATTACAGAAACATCACAGAATATTTTGAGTTGGAAGGAACCCACAAAGATTGTCAAGTCCAGCTCTTAAGTGAATGGCCCATACAGGGATCAAACCCATGACCTTGGCATTATTAACAGCATGCTCTAACCAACTGAGCCAATCACATTATTATTACATTTTACTTTGTTTCAGCTATTAAACTCATCTTAACCCATAAGTTTTACTTTTTTTCCCCCTGATTATCCTTCCCATCCCACTGGAGAGCAGTGAGCAAGTGGCTCTGTGGCATTTAGTTGCTGGGTGGGTTTAAACYATGATGCTTTCTTAGTGCTTTCTCTTACTTCTATACCTCTGATTTTTGGTTTGTTCTTTAAGTTATGTCAGCAGGGGGTAATGATACAAGGATTCAAAGTCCTAAGCTTATCAGTTGTGCTGATAAGTAACATTATATTGACAAACTCTTCTCAGTTTGCAGTGCCCTTATTCATCAGCTTCATATGGACTGTGTGCATATACACCTCCTGCATATTTCTCATGTGCCACCTCCTCTGCTGTCTTGCTGAGTTGTTAGGAGACATGGGGCAATCTCTAGTAATTCTTTAGTCTCTCACCTACAAACTTACTATATGCTGTTGATCTTTGACTGTAGCATCTTATGATGGCTCTGTCCTGTGTGAAATGGATTCTGCTGTTAGAAAGTGGGTCTTTGTTCAAGCACCCAAATCATATGAACTGTCAAGGCTTTGGTTGTGGGTCTGGTTAAGAGAGGCGTGAACAGGTCATGGATATAGCTCTGTCCTTTTCACTTTCAATATTCCCCTGTGCATTTCTTCTTTATGTTTACTATTATAGTTCAGTTCTTCTTTATAGAAGTTTCTATTAGTTCCTATCAGAATTTCTGTTGCACTGCATGTTAATTCTTTGTTCAGAGAGGCACTGTGTTTACAGGGCAGGGCAGGAACAGTCTCTTTCCAGATGGCATGGAATGACTGTACATAAGGTTAGTGTGGTCCTTCTTAGCACATTGTGCCATGGAATTGACAAGTGCAAAGCAAGTTAAATAGTGCTTGATGAAAAGTCAAGAGAAACTCAACTTCAAAGAGTAAGTTTCTAAGAATGAAAGAGGTCAGAATCATCCTGTGGTGTAAATCTGCAAGGCTTCAGTAAAATTGTGCTTATAATGACCTTGTATCATTGACTACAGTCTGGCAGACTTGAGACTTTCTACAGAAAGTGTAAAAGCTAATTGTGCTGAAACAGGTATCAGTGATAAGCAAGTTGTGCCTTTTCAAAACCTCTTCACCATTTTCTTCCTGTATAGACAATTAGAGTTTGTTCTCATTTCCTATTTATCATGACTAACTACCCCTCTCTAGGCTCAGCTGTTCCTTTTTATTCTCCTTCTTTTGTGTTTTGCTGTCCTGAAGCCAAATCTGAATGGATTTCAGTGGCTCTCTTGTGCTTTTTGACTTGGTATCAGGCAGTCTGACACCCTAAGAAAATTATTTTCCAAATGCTAGCCATACAGTGGATGAGTTCTTCAACAGGCAAAATAAAAGTTCATCTGAATAATGGGGGCAAGGTGTGGTATCTGTAAGTGTAAAACCTCTTGAGTTTTCTCCTCCAGTTTCCTTGCTACAGCTCCCATCAAAGCTCAGTTTTACAATACAGTGAACATTTTGGATATAGAGACTGTAGGTGACATCTGGAAAGGCCCAGTTTTTCAATGCTGTGTTCATCTGATCTGTACTATAGTAGAATCAGAAAAGTAAGGTACAATGCTGTTTCTAGAAAAGAGCAAACAGGTGATATGTGCACCTTGTGGGATGACTGTATTTTTCTGCTGACTTGCAAACAGTAAATTCTTTGGCAGCCTTGCTCCTGGCAAAGCCCTTGCACTTGTCAACTCCCTCCTTACTGCCAAGGTAATACCAGCAGCATTCCCCTTTTCAGGCAGAGCAGTGYATGTTGTTCAGGCCCATCCTGAGTCATGGAGCCCTGTAAGGTGCCATCTTTACCCAGGACTTAAAATGTGTTGTGATAAAAATGGGAGTCCCTTCTTTCTCAGATTTATCCTTTGTTATGAGTTTGTGTGTTACCATCTGGGGGATAAGGACTTGTGATATCCKTGTTGACTTCTCTCTCTCTCTCTCCCCCTCTTCCTTTCAGAGTGCTGCTGGGGTGAGTGCAGAAGAATGGCTGCGGCAGAACCTCTGACCGCTTTCTCCCGATGGTACCTCTATGCCATCCATGGCTATTTTTGTGAGGTGATGTTCACAGCTGCCTGGGAGTTTGTGGTCAACTTCAACTGGAAGTTCCCAGGTGTTACCAGTGTGTGGGCACTCTTCATCTATGGCACGTCCATCCTCATTGTGGAGAAGATGTATTTGTATCTCAAAGACAAGTGTAACATTTTAGTGCGCTGTTTCATTTACACACTGTGGACATACCTCTGGGAGTTCACCACTGGCCTCATCCTACGCCAGTTCAATGCCTGCCCATGGGACTATTCCCAGTTTGATTTTGACTTCATGGGCCTGATTACCCTGGAGTATGCCATCCCATGGTTTTGTGCTTCTTTCATCATGGAGCAGCTGGTGATCAGAAACACCCTGCGCTTGCGATTTGATGAGACTGCCGAGCCGGGGGCCCCCACCGCCCCCGTTGCCTTGGCCAACGGCCACGTGAAGACAGATTGAGCAGTGACTTAGAACCGTACTTAGCAATCTGAGAGAGCCCAGACCTCTACTGCGGACTGTCAGCTCTGGCCCCGAGGTACTGCTCCTTGCTGTATGATAAGATTCATAAACCCCATTTTTCTAATGGGGGTGTGCATGGGATATAACAGAAAAAATGGAACCAATAGATTTTCTATGGATTTTACTCTTTGGGCTCCAAGGACCAATATCAGTTACATGTTAGTTAGGTCGTTTCTGATTTTAACTTATGACTGATGAAAGCAGTCCTTTTGCTTACACTTTAAAGTGGAGAAAGAAGAAAAAAGAAATGCTACGGCAGAAATGCATCCAAAAAACCCCACCTAATCAGTGGATGGGCATGGACACACCAGCTGAGTTAGTGATTGGCTTACTCCATTAGGCAATATTCAGGTGCTTGCTTGCAACCAATACCTCCCGTGGGACCTGAGATGCTGCAGGAACAAGGAAAATCCATCTGCTGTTGAGAAGTACCTAAGACTGGCAGTCTGCTGGGGAGGTAGACGGTGTTCCTCGCCAGGTCCCATTGGCTTCTCCCCAGGTTCTTTGTTGCACCACGAAATAATCTGGTGCTGGACATCTTGCTGAATTTATATAGATCTTGTACTTTTTGAAATCTCAGTCCTGATACTCATTAGAAATTTTTTCTTTTCCTTTTTTTTTCTCCTTTTTTCCTATTAAAAGCCTTTTTTGCCAAGTGAATTTTACCATAATCTGTGCAATCTGAATCTTGGCAAAAGGCACAAGATATAGTGCAAGTCTTCCCATCTCCTCTGTTCCCCCAAAGCAGATCTTGCCTGAGTGTCTGCTGCAGATTCCAGCTCCCATCTCAGCCACAAGAGTTTTCTGCCTTTCTTTCCAGGGATTCCTCTGTTTCTGGTGATGTCAATGAATTAGTCTGGCTGCAGCCCATTGTATGGCTAACGTGGCATCCAGGATTTGGACCTCTGGCACTGACTCTCATGTTCTTTCAGCACTGGCAGGTCTTGGCTCAGTTCTGCCTACTATTCTGTTCAGTGTATCAAGTGGGTTTGCTTTTTCTTCTCAAATTCTGCTTTAAATAACCACAATGGTCGTGACAGTAATCAGAGGCAGCAAGAGATATACTATGCTGCCTGATACATTTATTAAAGAAAAAAAAGCAAAACACACTTCTCTGAAAAGCACTTACTTGTTCATGCTCTGCTTGAATGAAGCTTTGAATTAGGGTGTGGGAGCAACAGTAGAGAGGTGGAGCAGGAGGGAATGCTGTGGCTCCACTGTAGAACTACTCGCACCAGGGACAGTTTGAAATTTAACCTATTAGGAACACTTACCGAGTACAAGACACTTGTGGTGCAGGGAAGGTGTTTCATAGTGGTAGCCACAAGTTTGTAATTCATTCTGTCAAATCTTGGGTTTTGAAGTTAGCAAGAAACATGGAACTTCCAGCTGTCAGATATCTCGCTCCTGAACTGATTTATGGGGAAGGTTTGCCATAGTTGTCCCTTAGGACCAGATCAATTTTTCTTGTTCTTCCACCACAGTCAGCAGAGCTGTACCATGGATAATTTGGCTTGAAATGCAAATCTGTTATAGGATTCCACTCTTGTTTTGGAAATAGTTGGGCCATTTCCGTGTAGGTCCTTTGTCTCTGGTAGGGGGTGCTCATCTGTGAACCTGCTCCTTGCCCTGGCACAGCCATTCCTGAGAGAAAAAGCACTTCTGGCCCTGCAAGTGGAATTGTTTCTTGGTTCTGCTCTTACAAGGCAGTGTTAATCCTTTTTTTGTATCACACAGAGAGTAATTATTTTATTCATTCCCTTCCCCTTTTCACATGGGATCCATTGCTGGCAATGGTCACATGAAGACAGTGGTGGTGGCAAGGAGTTAATCAAATCTGCCCTGGGTATGCAATGTATCCCAGATCACTGAGAATACTTAGGTGGGTATTTAGAGTTCCCTTTTTATAGTTTTTTAAATGAAAAGAGAACAAACACTGAACAGATAGTTCTTTTGATGCTGTAGATGCCAGTCTTATGAAATCAGAGTAGCAGTATGTAGTTAATCAGCATTGTTGGTCTCAGGCTTGTAGACCCAAGCAAAATAGTCACCTGAAACTGTACGTGGAGGGAAAGAAAAGCTTTGTGTGTGGGATAACATAGATGAGCTCTACTGGAGCAGAACCAGAATTGCAAAGTGCAGATGAGCATTGGGATCCCACATTTTGGCCCTGGTTGTGTCAGATCATCAAACGCAGTGTCTAAAGCTGGGTTGTCCTCTCACAGCATAGCTTAAATGTGATGTTGTGCTGCCTCCTACTCCACCCCCACGTCATGTAAAACCCTCAGCTTTACAGAAACATCCTTAGATCCCTGCTTTCTCCTTAGCTGTTACAAAGCTCTTTAGAAAGGTTAAAAGGAGTTAGCAATGTGGTGTGGAGGACTGGCTGTCCACAGAGCTAACCTGGTGTGCAATAGCAGTTGTGTCCGTTGTTGTCTTTACTTTAGAAGGTCCCATGTCAATGACAATTTCTTTGTGTTTTGCTGAGTGATGTAATATTTAACTGCTCAAACTATGGAAGGATTTCCCAACAACATCTACTATCCTAGGGCATTATCTTTATTGCCTGTGTCATTGAAACAGCTATTGTAGTCTGCTTTCCACTGGTGTCTGATGTGTACCACCCAGCTACTGCAACTTCATAGAGTGGTAATTTATATCCAGAAGTGCACTTTACTTGCAGCTTGCACACCAGAAACAGAAAAGGACCTGGCAAATTCTTAAATCGTTAAATTATGTATAATACCACATACCTAATGCAGCAGGATTAGCCAGACTTCTTTCTGAGCAACATGGCTGCTGTTAGAGCTTTGTCTTTTCTGCAAAATCTCCCCTTTTAATACTTGTGATGCTTCTTGTAACATCTTGCAGAACTGCCCAGAGCACGTTACCAGGATCTCAATGGCAGCTCAGTGAGAGCTCAGGAGCTGGACTGAAGTTGAAGAGACATTTACATTAAGAAGAAAAAAAACGCACAAGGCCTAACATTTGTTTGTATGTGTATCTTCCTCAGTAGATTAAAGTTGCCTGTTTTGAGTTCACCAGCAATAAAAAAACCTTGTGATTTATCTGCCTTGTCCTAACTGCAGCAAGGAGAGAGTGACCCTCTTCTCTGCCTTTTTTTTTTCCAGGGGGTGGTGGGATATGGACTTCAGTTACCCCAAGGTTCCAGTTTTGCATCTGTTCTCTTGCTTATCTCCTGTATGGTCCACCCTAAAGGATCTCAAAGTAGATGATAAATAAATACAGAGTCTGGTGTCCTGCATACAAGAGGCAGTTCCAGCATTACTGTGGTATCTGTTCATACTCCAAAGATTTTGCCAGAGGGGAATGTTTGATCTACAGCAGGACCAGATGGCATTTTGGTCTTTGGTGTTATAATTGAGAGAAATGTGTACATACGTACCAGGTACTATTGCGCCTTTGGTCTGAGTGCATTTTGTAATTAAAGCAGAATAATCCAATCAAGATTTTGCTTGACTTGTCCAGTGACTATAAAAGGTAAAAAAAAAAAAAAAAAAAAAAAAAAAAAAAGTAAAAAAAAAACTTTAGCTGCTTTGAGAATTAGGAAGCAGGTGGCTGAAGTCCTGAGTTCACTTGCACTGCTCTGCTGCTGACTGGTTTTCTAAAATGGGTACAGAAAGAAAGGGGATTTCTTTGCTCACGGAAACTTGTGCCCTTTCTGTAAATAAAACATGAGCCACAACTAAGACGTGAACTGAAACCAAATGTTTTCCTATTTTAGTTTATCCTAAGTCCTGAATACATGCAATATGCTCTGTATTCAGAGGGGAGGCTTGCAGACCTGAGCTCCTTTCCTCCACTTCTGCCTTCAAATTGCAGCTGAACCACCTGAGGGGGGATTACTCTCTTCCCCTTCCTTTCTGCACATTGGTAGCTACCCTATCCCTCTGTGGTCTCTCTCCTCTTGTAGAAGGAAATTTTTCCTCTCACATGATATGGCCCCTTACCAAATCAGAAGCTTTTAGTAATGTGTGTCACCTCACCCAGCAGCTTTGGCACCTAATGACCACTTTGGGTCACAGCACTCGTGAGAACATGTGAACACTGTCCTTGTTTGGTAAATGGCCTCCCACTGAACCTGTCCTGCCTTATTCCTCCTGGAGTGTCCTGAGCCAACTGCTGGGGAGGAAACATTCCCTTCCTGTCTTCTGTGGTAGAGAATGGAGCAAGCTCTGCAACTGCTCAGGGGCCTTTGGCACCACTCAAGATTTTAAGCTAACACAAGTCTGTCTCCACCTTGGCAGGGAAACTTTGGTTTTAATAGCTGTAAGGCTCTGGGCTTTAGGCTCATCACAAGCAAGGCTTCCATAAACCTCTTAGTGAATTTGTACAGTGTGGAGTGGCTTACATCTTCTGGGATGGCACGTGGTTGCTCCATCGAGTGTTTGACCACTTGATTTACTTCTTTGTGAGCAAGAAGGAAGTTACAGAGTAGGTGGTGTCCCCAGTACCTGCTCTGCTTTTGGCCCCTGGGCCACTAGCACAGATGCCAAAGGAAAAGGTGCTGTTCTGACAAAAGTCCTCGGCAGGGGCTGGGGATGCACTGGTTAGTTTGTGTCCAAAGGCACCACAACTTTAAATACAAAGTTGTGCTTTCCCACTGCAATCATCACTGCTTGTAGAAACGCGAATGTCCGCTTGCCCCAACGTGTGTGATTGCTTCAGCTTACTCTGAACTAGAAGGAGTGTTTAAAATCTCCAGTCTTCCTTCTCTCCAGGTGATTCCCAGCTTGCAACTTTGTGAACAAATACATCACCTAGGGATATACAAGCTAATGCTTATCAAGCCAGTATAGGAACTAAAAGCCATTTAATGCTGTGCTCAATCCTGCTAAGTTAATCATGCTGAGAAGCAGAATAGACACACCTCAGAGTGTGGTGCCATCTGACTATGCCACTTCACGACCTGAATAGGTACAAATGCCTACTCAGGAATGCATTTTGCCTTACAAAATGTACTCTTAATTCCATGCTTAAGAGGGAGAAAGACAGAGATCCTATTACATAGCTTCGTCACTGCTTCTGATTTTACCTGAGATTTTACCTGTGTAAAATTTTGGCTACTTAGCTGGGACCCTGACAACCAAATGTGGAAGGTGACTTTTTACAGCTCTGGAGTAGGTCAGTAGCATCGCACCACTGCACTCTGCATTGCACGGGGTGTGCTGTGCAAACTCCAGTGCACCACCAGGATCGGCTTCCTCTATACAAGGACTATGATGGGTACAGGGGGTCACAAAAGCACTACTGATAATGGTGGCAGAGCAAGGACTGGTAGTGACTCCTACATTCCCAAATCTTCAAGAGCTAGACAGGTTGAAAGGAGCTCTTCATATCCTCTGTATCTGGTATTTCTCACAGGTCTAAAGCAAACTGGCAGGTTTTTCATTCTAACAGATGCAGACCATTTCCTTGACTCCTTACTCTGGAGTCTGGGCAGGTCACTCCTGTTATAGTTACTGGATTTTCTGATAGGAATGGCCTTCATTAGTGTCTCAGAAAATAGCAATTTTTAAATGGTAATCCCAAATGTTTGACGTCAGTTTGTATTTATGCTTTAGTCAATTTAGGAACTAAAGACCCTTAAGTATCTGGTGATGCTGTTTGTTTATACTGTTCTTTGGCATGCTGTCCTGCTTTAATGCTATAATGCAGAAGAAAGAGAAGGAAATACAAGCAATTTTCTCTTTAATAAAAATACATAAACATGCAGTTGAGACAACATTTCTTAAATAGCTGAGGTATACAAATGCTTAAAGATGTCTGACCTTTCAAATATGGGACATTTTCCAGTGCAGAATTTCACTTTCCATGGTGGTTAATCCCCTTTGCAGCATTTCTATATTGCTGTTTCAGTATGGTTCTTTGCCTAGTACTCTGGGAATGAGAATTACACTATTTTCATTTTTCACTGAAGGATCTTTTAAATGCTTTTCATAAACTAATGAAATAATTCTTGCTTCTGAACAATTACTGAAGTGGGTCAGAATTAACCCCAAACAGCCCTGATCAGGAGCTGAAAAAAATGTTCTGACAGTTCCCAAAAGGTCATTTCAGAAAGAGAGAAGGGAGTTCAACACTCTACCTCTTAACCAAATTTCCAGATTTGTGGAGTGAGCTAAATAGAGTTCCAACAAAATTGGGAAACTGGGGAACTACCACCTGGTTTCCACTGTGTGAAGCCATTCCAGAAATGGTTGTGCACATCATCACATTGCTCTCTCTGCCCAAGTCAAAGCCAGCACATGAAGGGACTGTCTGAGCTGAGAGGCAGCCCAGTATCTTGTATAAAACAGGACTGATTCCCTCTGTCTGCTACATAATCCCATCTCCATCAGTAGAATACTTTTGGCTAAATATTGCTAGGGGGAACAAGCTATGTTAAAGGCTAAACTGAGGTGACCATCTGCTCTATCAGCTCATGTTGCAGTTGTTGCAGAGCTTATCTGTGATGTTGTTTCTGTTGTCAGACCACTCAATCTGATAACCACAGCTCTTCCTACTGCTCCTCTTTCTCCAGTGGCTCCTTTGGGGTATCCTGTCCTTTTCCATGCTTTACCTCCATTGTGCTGCAGCAACAGGCACCCAAGGCCCCCTACCCTAAGTCTGAACTCCACCTTTGGCAATTGAACAAAAATGCTGGGTTAAAGGATTGCTGATGAGCTGTACCTTCCATTGAAGTCCACAAGTTACAGTTGTCAGTGCTTTGAAAAGCAGAAAACATTTAACACATTTGTTTTTCAGGCACAGGTATATTAGCAAATTTGCAAGTACTGTTCAGTGCATTTGCTCTACCTTCCACTCAATGGTACACAATCGGTTTTCAAAGCTAAATCCATAAAATGCTTCTGTGGTCAATCTCTAAGTTTCAGTGAATGTAGAATAATACATAGTTTTACCTGATCTTTCACATAAATGTGTACACACATAGTGTGTTTAGGTGCACAAACATAGCTGATGGCATGCAGGCTGCATCATCGCTTCTGCCAGCAAAGAAGAGCCATTCCCTGTTTAGCTGCCCACTCACTGCCACTTCCATGAGCAGATCAAGAGGATATCCAAAATAAAGCCCACATACACACGGAGAAGGTTAAGATCTAAGTTGAATGTTCGTTACCTTGCAAGCTGCATGTCTGTCCTTTGGTAGGTGGGAAGGCCTCAATTAGATGTCAGGGAATTAAAACCTCTAATCAATGAGCAGTCAGCTCAGAGAGGAAGGTTAGACTTAAGTTTCTCAAACATGTTTTACATACATTTTTTAAAATCAGATTAATGTCTAAGGCAAACATACCATGCTATCCTGCTTCTTCTTTTAAAAAAAAGGGAAGTTATCATGTGGGGGGCTTCTGGTGTCTTTGACAGGGTTTGGTTTCCACTCTGTATGCACACTATTATTGCTAAGGAGAGCAGTGTGTACTCTGCTGAGTCAAACCCATCCCATCCACTTCTCTTCCTTGGCTAAGGCATCAACCGAAAGTACTCCCACCCAGGCAATGTTGATCCTAGACATCCTGTTCTTCTGCTGCTCCATCTGTTGGCCACTGGATCTGTCTGCCATCTCCAATCTCAGTCACGTTGCAAATTCTCCAGGCCAGGCCTTGTGTTTTTGTTGTTGCATTGATGTCAGCATGTCCCTAACTGGATCTGTAAGTGCTATATTATTGGAGATAGTAAGCATTAAAAAAAGTTTCTGAAATCTTCAAGGATGAGAGTAAACACCCCAGCTCTGTTCCACCAACAAAAGGGCCTGACCAAAATATCCAAGAGGTACCTGTGCTGTCCCTTTCCATCCAGCCTTGTCTGCCATGCAGGAAGGCTAATCCCTGATAATGACTTGAGCATGCCAGCAGCACCAAAATGGAGGAGGGCTTGTGGCACACTAGGAGCCTCCTCCCTGAGACTCCTCTTCAGGTGACACACAGGTGTCCACCTTAGCCAGATGCTGGCATTCTCGAGCAAAATAGATTTTTCATGTTACTGGATGGTGTACTGGCTCTTCAGCAGAGGCTGACTGGAGTTAGCATGGTAATGATAATGACACTTTAGTTAACAAGTGTGAGTAAAAAGCAACAGCTGCCCTTTGATCTCACAGTAAGGGCAGCATGGCCCCCAGCAGTGTGGTGAGGCTGTGTGCTGCATGACTCCTGAAAGTAGCACAAACATCTCCAAACAACAGCACAGGCTGCAGTTGTCCTGGCCACTGACCTCTGGGCATGGAACCAGCATGAAGCTTGTGGTGTTATACTGTCCCAGCAAGGCTCCCTGGGACTTTATGGCTGCAGGCAAAGCCAGCAGTAAGCCTGGCCTTGGCTGTTCTCATGTATGGTTCATCAAACCTTACTTCACTGCTTTATCTTCCATTGCCCATCCTGTCCTCCCTCTCTGCCTCATCAGCTGCCTCCTGGCAAGGTCTTATTGCCTGTTAGGGCTTTAGTGTTCATCTCAATTTCCTAGTTTATATCTGGTGACTTAACCCTTGCCACAATATTTTCTTGGCTGGGGCTTCACAGCACTGTTATCTCCAGCTCTTTGTTGTCACCCTCTTATGGCCACTGTTGTCTCTGCCTGCTTGGGAATCCCTGTTCAGATCCGCTGTGTCCCCAGTCTGGGCACCCCCATCCAGCTACGCAGCCTTTATTGCCATCTTCTCCTCAGGTCTCAGACCTCTGCCTCCTTCCCAGCTTGCCACCACCTCACTAGACCAGCATTTTTCTTGGCTCCACTGGCATCTCTTCCTGAATGAGTTACCAACAACTCGAACCACCTGTAGCCAGGGTGGATTTTTGTGCCTCTTCTCATGTACCTCATTTTTGTCCTTTCCCCCTGGAAGATACATAACAAATATGAGAGGCGGAGACATCTTTGACCTTGTCTTGTACTCTTCCATAGTTGCCTCGTCTTTGTGTTTTGCTTCCTTTTTCCTGCCCCTGGAGGTCTCCCTGCTGGACTGGTGCTGTTGTTCCACAATTCTGTTTCACATTACTATCCTGTATGCAAGAAGTTTTCTTCAGCTGTCCTGCTAGAACATACCCTTCTCCCCATGCCAGTTTGTCTCACTAGCCCTACAAAACCCTGCAAATTAAATCATCTGCATATCTATTTCACATATTTATGAGTGAGATACTAATCCCTGCATA